TAATTTCTTCCCCAATGTGCTGTCATCCTGCTAAACTATTACAGGTCCCTTTGGGGATAGCTAGAAGTAAGATTTACATTATAAATCTTTGAGGCATGGCAGGACTCTTACTCAAAAGGACTGAGCCTCCTTTTCATTCAAGAGGCTCTGGGACTGTGAACTGACTCAAGCCTGGGAATTTATTGGGGATTGCAACCCCTTATTGTGATGACTGAAGTCAGTATTTTGTTCAACAGACCTAGAGCATTTCCATTCATACAAGTCCAATAAGGCTTTAGTTGGCTGCTCATCTATTCAGTTCTAGGGTCGCAGTGATTACTAGCCAATGTCACAAATCTCTGAGGTTTAGATGAATCTGATTACTTTCTGCTCTCGGCGACCTTGGCATTGACTGTTAAGTGCCACTTCAGAGGACCCAGTTCCATGGCAGAAGTTTCTCCTGTGACATTGGGCCCACAGAGGACAACCACTGTATAGCTCCTCAAGGATGCGGGTTCCCTCACCAGATACCTCCCACAGACTTGGTAAGGCGGGGCTCCTCTGGACTCACTCCCGATAGGAGTGCATATATATGTTCATTAAAAGGTATAAGAAGGTTCATAGCAGCAATTTTATAATCACCTAAAACTGGAAACTACCCAAAGTTCCACCTAAGGAAGAATGGATACATAGATGAAAATATATGCATATAATGGAATCTCATGTATCCCAAAGAATGTAGATATAAAAACATAAATTACACAATCATGATGTGGAATGAAAGAAGCCACACAAAAAGAAGGTGTGCTGTTTAATTCCATTTATACGCAGTGGTCGGGCTCCTCGCCGGGCGTATGGAAGTTCAGGTGATTCTCCTGCCTCAGCCTCCTGAGTAGCTGGGACTACAGGCACCTGCCACCATGCCCGGTTAATTTTTTATTTTTATTTTTAGTAGAGATGGGTTTCACCATATTGGCCAGGCTGGTCTCAAACTCCTGACTTTGTGATCCATTTGCCTCAGCTTCCCAAAGTGCTGGGATTACAGGCTTGAGCCACCATGCCCGGCCGACCAAGTCCTTTTCTACTACGTATTTTTACCATTATTAGTTGTGGCCCAACTTGGCAAATCTCACTTCAGATTGTAATCAATTTCTCAACGTTGAAAATATTTTTGCTTACAGTTGCTCCAGACTATTTAAAGGCTAATTGTTCAGTCACTTCCAGGGTGACTTCTAAGGTCCAATTTTCCTGGGACTGAGGAGGTTCCCAGAATTTGGAATTTGGGACTTCCAGTGTTAAAACCAGAAAGGTCTGGGCAACCTGACATAAACTGATCTTCCTTGCACTTCCAACTGGGCAATGACTCTGAATTATCAAGTGAGCACTATTGTGGTAACACCTGTTAGCCCCTCAGGAACCAAGGAAAATGTTCACAGTCATTTGTCTTGTTTTTAAGCTATTGATGTTGCTTCCTCAACTTTCAAGCAACTGTTTTCACTGAAAGGCCAGCGCTTTTAAGTTTATTTTGGTGGCTCACGCCTGTAATCCCAACACTTGGGATGAGGAGGGAAGACAGCTTGAGATCAGGGGTTCCAGACCAGCGCAGGCAACAAAGTGAGACATCTCTACAAAAAATAGTTAACGGTATGATGGTGTGTGCCTGTGGTTCCAGGTACTTGGGAAACTGATGGGGGAGGTCCACCTGAGCCTGGCAGGTAGAGGCTGTGGCGAGCAATGATCATGCCACTGCACTGCAGCCTGGGCCAGAGTGAGATCTTGTCCCTAACAACCACAACACCATTGATTTGGCAGGGCCCAGTGGCTCACGCCTGTAATCCCAGCACTTTGGGAGGCTGAGGCTGGCGCATCACGAGGTCAGGAATTCGAGACAAGCATGGCCAACATGGTGAAACTGAACCTGGGAGGTGGAGGTTGCAGTGAGCTGAGATCATGCCACTGCACTCCAGCCTGGGACACAGGGAGACTCCGTCACATACACACACACAGAAAGTTTAGGGGTGCAGTGGCTCATGCCTGTAATCCCAACACTTTGGGAAGCTGAGGTGGGTGGATCACCCGAGGTCAGGAGTTTGAGACTAGCCTGGCCAAAATGGTGAAGCCCCGTCTCCACTAAAAATATAAAAATTAGCCGAGCGTGGTGACTCACACCTGTAATTCCAGCTACTTGGAGGCTGAAGCAGGAGAATTGCTTGTATCTGGGAGGCGGAGTTTGCAGTGAGCCAAGATCACATTATGGCACTCCAGCCTGGGCAACAAGAGTGAGACTCTGTCTCAAAAAAAAAAAAAAAAAAAAAAAAGTTTATTTTCTTTGGCCACATTTCTTTTGCTGTTGGAATCAAACACAATTATCTCATCATTTCTAAATAGCCTTCCCTGTTTGGCTCACAAGCCACTTGAAAACCTAACTTTAGTTACACCCTTATTTTCCTGTCAAGAAATTGGGTGCTGATATACTGTTTTAAACGTCTAACACTTCTGATGCGTTCCTGAGTTGAGAATACTCCAGGGATGAAATGCACAATCTGTAGTGCGTCCAGCAGCAGTGCTAAGCAAAGGGGCACATACAGTCTGTCACAACTGACTTCTACAGACAGCACATACGCAGAAGTATGGCTGCATTCCAGCAAGTCTTTACTTATGTACACTGAAATGTGAATTCTGTATCAGTTTCATGTGTTATACTTTTCCCCCCACCACTTCAAGAAATAGCCTTTGCTGCACTAAAGTGAGATTTTAGAATTCATATTAGCTGTCTCAAACCACAGATCAGCTAGGGCTACAATTTCCAGTCATGGTGACCAGTTGCCTTGGCTTTGGCCACACAGTATTCCAATGACAGTAATGGAAAACCCTGTTCTGATTACGTCAACTTCATTCATTTGCTAATCAAAGGCCATTTCTGTAGCATCTCTTCACTTGACGTTCCATCTTATGGCCAACATCCAGCTTGGGAAATGTGTGGCTCCAACTGAAACTGGTCTATGGACTAATTCCTTTTTTTTCCTTTATAGCTTTTTGTCTGATATATTATATATAACAGCAACACAAACCTCATTTTTCTTTTTTTTGAGAGGGAGTCTCGTTCTTGTTGCCCAATCTGGAGTGCAATGGCATGATCTTGGCTCACTGCAACCTCCACCTTCTGGGCTCAAGCGATTCTCCTGCCTTGGCCTCCCGAGTAGCTGGGACTACATACGTGTACTACCACGCCCGGCTAACTTCTGAATTTTCAGCAGAGACAGGGTTTCACCAAGTCGGCCAGAATGGTCTCGATCTCTTGACCTTGTGATCCACCCGCGTCAGCCTCCCAAAGTGCTGGGATTACAGGCATGAGCCACTGTGCCTGGCCTAAATCTCATTAATTTTTAAAAATTAAGAAAGGGGGCTGGGCAACATGGCTCACGCTGGTAATCCCAGCACTTTGTGAGGCTGAGGTGGGCGGATTATGGTCATGAGTTTGAGATCAGCCTGACCAACGTGGTGAAACCCTGTATCTACCAAAAATCCAAAAATTAGCCAGGCATGATGGCAGGTGCCTGTAATCCCAGCTACTCAGGAGGCTGAGGCAAGGGAATTTCTTGAACCTGGGAAGTGGAGGTTGCAGTGAGCCGAGATTGCACCACTGCACTTCAGCCTGGGTGACAGAGCCAGACTCTGTCTCAAAAAAAGGAATTAAGAATGGGAAAATGGCTGGCCTGGTGGCTCATGCCACTAATCCCAGCACTTTGGGAGGCCGAGGCGGGTGGATCGCTTAAAGTCAGGAGTTCGACCAGCCTGGCCAATATGATGAAATCCTGTCTTTCTACTAATAACACAAAAATCAGCTGGGCGTGGTGGTACACGCCTGTAACCCCAGGTACTTGGGAGACTGAGGCAGGAAAATCACTTGAACCAGGGAGGTGGAGGTTGAAGTGAGCAGATACCATAATACTGCAGTCTAGCCTGGGCAACAGTGAGTGACACTCTGTCTCTAAATAAATAATTTGGCCATGACCTGCTAAGGATGGAATTACCCCTTCTCTTCTCCAGGTTACAATATTCCCTTGCATATTAAGTGGTGATGAACAGTATCATACCCAACGTGGGTGGCAGGTGGCTGTTTGGGAAGGGAGAATTACTCAGTTCATTTCGCCACGTACATGTCTGAATGCACACGCCCCTTAAGATGAAACACAACAGACGTGTGTCTTGACATGGAAAACCTTTTTGACATCTTCCCAGGGGAAACCAGACAGATGTCCAGATCCACAAAGTTCAGAGATGGTTCCAAGACAGCATTCATATAACAAATATATACTCAATCTTCTATGTGCAAGATACATTCCAGAGATCTGCTCTTTGGATGTACTTAAAACCAGCTCTATTTTGGCTAATGACCTTTTTGACCTTAGCCCAACTGTGCAAATGTGAAAAAAAAACCCAACTCTTATTTTGCATCAGAACACCTAGCCCAGTATCATATTAAGGACTTCAGAAATGCTAGATGAAAGAATGCCTAGTGGCAATGAATTTTAAAAAATATCCTGGCCAGGCAAGGTGGCTCAGGCCTGTAATCCCAGCACTTTGGGAGGCGGAGGCAGGCTGATCATGAGGTCAGGCGTTCAAGACCAGGCTGGCCAACATAGTGAAACCTCGTATCTGCTAAAAATACAAAATTTAGTCAGATGTGGCACACGCCTGTACAGCTGTAGTCTTAGCTACTTGGGAGGCTGAGGCAGGAGAATCACTTGAACCTGGGAGGTGGAAGTTGTGGTGAGCCGAGATCACGCCACTGCACTCCAGCCTGGTCGACAGAGAGGAATTATGCCTGTAAGGCATGAGTCACTGTCCCCAGTCTCATTTTTAAAATTTTTTGTAGAGAGGGGCTCTCATCATGTTGCCCAGCTGGTCTCCAACCCCTGGCATTAAGTAATCCTCCTGCCTCAGCCTTCCAAAGTGCTGGGATTACAGGCACAAGCTACTACATCTGATGGCAATGTTTATAATGAATCTGAATTTGCTAATGAAGAGGAAACTTTACCATTATTTTTCCCCAATGACCCCCAAGTCCTATTCGCAAACAAATAAATTGTAGAAAAAAGTTTATTTGCTAGTTATTGTTTGAATCTTGAAATACAATTCCTCACTGATGTATAAAATGGTGGTTATTAATCCATGCTAGCCCAATGAAAACTAATTTAAAATTGTTCGTAAAAATGAGTCATTTTTGAATCTCTTAAAATCTGAATACACAAATCTGTGCTAACACTGGAACTGCCTTCTCACTCTACATATAATTTAACTTCCAGCTTCAACCATGCGGTGTTGAAATCTAAAGCGCCCTCATGAGTTAATGTCCCTGACAAATCATGCAGACGGACAAACAAGATTGGTGGTCTTTAACTGGTGGTGACAGAAAAGCCTGCAGTTTAGTGCTTAAACCTGCACTTAGTGGTCACCTTTCTATCCAGGCAGAGTAACTAAGGAGAGCTATGAAATGTCAAAAGAAAAACAGAGAACAGGACAAAGAGGCAATGTCAGCCAAGCCACTGCAAATACACCCTTGTATTTCAGCCAAGGGCAGGCAATCCAGAATTACAGACTGCTTTCCTTAACTGGACCAAACAGTGTATTTTTCCTCTGACAATCCTGTCAAGGGTTACATTTCACTGTACATAGTAAAATAGTAAGTCCACCCCCATAAAAATATTGTATGTCTCAGAAAATACAATACATTAAAAATGACTGATTGCTTTTGCCTCGTCTTTTCTTCCGTGAATGCGTAGGTGTTTGAGTCCTCTATATTTCTTCTTTTACACAGGACACGGGCTGTTTGAAAACTTTCATTATCTGTATCATCTTCATTCATTTCAGTCACTTCAGATTTTCGTCTCTCCAAAATGTTGGTGTACAAACTGGTGTGGGGCCCTGGATTCAACAAGTAAAGATTATAATATATAAATGTAGAACAAGATTATGACTGTACCCAAAATATCACCTCTCTTCTATTTTTACAAGTGGTAGCCCATTATTTTAGGCCTGTTTCAATCTTTTGGTAGTACTATTGTAAAGAATCAAGAACTGAGATGTTTATCTAACTTAGTACAGAAATTCGTAATTAATTGGAATATAGCATGTTCCATTATAAGGTGTTAAGCAGAAAATTGCTAAATCAACAATAAAGATCTACCAAATGTGACAATATTCAATTTGAAATCTTTAAATCAGAGTTGCAGAAACTGCCTTTCTTTCTTCAAATTATCTGTATAACACCTGGTGTCCGGAATATTGGAGACAACTTTACCTGGCTATCCACAGTCTTCTCAGCAGTGTCAAGAGTGCCTACAGCCTTTTCCTTCTTCTTACGTAAAACCTTACAATAAATTTTAAAAGACACATCAGTTTGAATATTGATCAGGTATAGTAGTCTTAAATGTTTTCCTACTTATCTTTCTCTAATATTGGGCATGTAAAATGATAAAAAGAAAAATTTTACCTGGCCTTTTGTAGACTTCTGATGATTAGTTTTTGAAATACTTTTCCGTTTTCCGTAAAATCTTTAATAAAGAAATTATATATTAACAGTCTCATAGCTTTTCTTTTTAAACTTAGCATTAGATCCTCATATATATTATCAGTAAATCCTCCCTAATGACACAGCATTTCAATTTAAAAAGCAAAACTCAATGCAGTGAATAATCTCAAGTAAAGGGCAAAACTAGGAGAAGCCCAGCTGAGGAACTGACAGAGCTGCAGAGGTTGAAGGGAAGGCCAAAATCTGGAGCTCACTGATTCACAGAATTCTGAATTCAGGAGGGTGGAAGCAGGAAGAATGTGCAAAGGCAGGCCACCCTCACCTCCCCTAAGTCACAAGCAAAGTTCAGGGAAAGCAGCGCTCACATGCCGCTTTTCAAGCTTCACTGTCTTGGTTCCCAGATGGGTTCACAGGAGTACCAGGGCCTAAGACTCAATCAGATTATCTACTTAAAGGACATTTCCGCTTCTGTATAATGGAAATAACAGAATCTGCTCTCATGTTTTAGGAAGAACCTACAATGTTTCAAGTTTAGTCAGGCCAGGCACAGTGACTCTCGCCTGCGATCTCAGGCCTTTCGGAGGCTGAGGTGGATGATCACCTGAGACCAGGGGTTTGAGACCAGACTGGCCAACATGGCGAAACCCCATTTCTACGAAAAATACAAAAAAATAGCCTGGTGTAGTGGTTCACACCTGTAATCTCAGCGACTCAGGAGGGTACGGCAGAATTGCTTGAACCTGGGTGGTGGAAGCTGCAGTGAGCCGAGATTGTGCCGCCGCACTCCAGAATGGGCAACACAGCAAGACTCTGTATAAAAACAAAAACAAAAACAAAAACAATTCAGTCAAAAAACTAGCTTGGCATGGTGGCTCACACCTGTAATCCCAGCACTTTGGGAGGCTGAGGTGGGCAGATCACCTGAGGTCAGGAGTTTGAGACCAGCCTGGACAACATGGAGAAACCCCATCTCTAAAAATACAAAAATTAGCTGGGCGTGGTAGTATGCACCTGTAATCCCAGCTACTTGGTAGGCTAGAGGCAGGAGAATCACTTGAACCCAGGATGTGGAGGCTGCAGTGAGCCAAGGTTGTGGTAAGCAGTAGGTTAGGTACTTTACGAGACACAGAGCCACCCCCTCCCCTCCCCACAACAAATCACAAAAAAAAATGCCACGAAGAAATATTTACCAAAGAAGGAAAATCATAATCAATTCCCTTTCTAGCTAGTTTCTTCCTGAGTAACCTTTCTTTCTTTTTAAATCGCTCCTCCATCCGTAGTTTTTGTGGTTGTGTCCGATTCTGATTATAACGTTTCACTGATGGATATGACGGCTGCTTCAATGGAATATTCCAGTCTTTAAAGAGTTCTTTATGGACTTTTTTAGGTGGCATAAGACGACCTATTTTTAAAAAGAAAAAAACATAAAAAGTTTCAACCAAATGGTAGGAAAGGGATTTTAATGTTAACTTTGGAATCTCCCCAGTGCCACTCCTCACAGTCATCACGACGTGGCTGGGTACAGTGGCTCACACCTGTAATCCTGGCTTCTCTCACAGCAATGGGAACTGAATAGACAGATGCTACCTGGGCAGCCTTGTCAGCTGTGAACTTGGGTACCTAAGATGGCCACAGGCCACCACGGGCACAGGGAGGCCAGAAACTTCACTCTGCCTCCCAAGGGCAGCAGGATCTGGAGACGGATGCTCTCTGCACTCTGTGGACTGCAGGGTCGGGGCTGCACTGGCTCCTTTCTGCAGGATGAATTTCTAATCTGGTGCTGTCACTCCTCTATGCCTTCCAGCTTCTCTCGTGTGGAAGAGCCACAGCCACTGCCATTTAGATGGATTCTGCAATGCGATTCCTGACCTTTGCTGCTATCCCACTGCCCTCAGGATGAATTCTGAACTCGCTGACTTAGAAAGCCTTCAGTAACCCGACCTGAAGCCTCTTCCTGTTCCCTGATCTCTTGCTACTTTTCCTCACATTCCCTCACAGCCAAATGGTCAGGCACCTCTGGTTTGGCATTCACTGTCCCTCAGCCAGCAATGGTCTGTCTTCACTTCTGTCCCTTCACTGGCTGGCTCCTGCTTAGTCTTCAGGTTTCAATGTCAATGCTCTTTCCCCAGATAAGTCTTTCACAGCCCATAAGCATGGGTTAGCTGCTCCTCCTGTGTGTCCCCAAGGTGACTTGTCCAGTTCCATTTAGGATAAAAACAGCTCTCATGCTGGGAGGTTTTAAAATTCCAATTAGAATCTGCCTGCGACACACACAGTGAAATCCCTGCACCATTCTGTAAGACTCATCCACAGAGGAAGTGGCATGTCCAAGCAGTTAAGCAAGCCGCCCTTCCCACCAGTCACCCACCAGCAGCAGGCACCCAGGCAACCCTGCTACCACAGAGACAGGAGCACTTACACTCCAAGAGCCTTTCACCAAACAGGTAGTTGTTCATTGTTTCAGCAACTGTCTTGGAACATCCTTACACTCAAACTCCACAAATGCATAGCCTTTGCTGTTTCCAGTCTGCAACAGAGAATACGCCACAAAAAGCAGAATAATTAGATTTGAACGCATTATTAAATTCCTAAAACGCCATTATTTTAAATAATGTATATAGCCCCTTATCAAACATTATGACACATTTAATTCTAAATTCAATTCACATATTCTGGAGACTGTTACAGGAAAAAGAAAAGATGCAAGAGTCTCAACACAGCTGATTTTCTGGTATTCTTGGGATTTTTATTACATATGATAAATATACAATTCCTATGGCGGGAATTTATTCAACAACAACACTGCATTGTATAAGTCTTTAGTTGGGTGTGGTGGCTCACGCCTGTATCCTAGCACTTTGGGAGGCTGCGGTGGACAAATCATGAGGTCAGGAGTTCGAGACCAGTCTGACCAACATGGTGAAACCCCATCTCTACTAAAAATACAGAAATTAGCCAGGTGTGGTGGTGTGCGCCTGTAATCCCAGCTACTCAGGAGGCCAAGGCAGAAGAACTGCTTGAACATGAGAGGTGGAGGCTGCAGTGAGCCAAGACTGTGCCACTGCACTCCAGCCTGGGCAACAAGAGCAATACTTTGTCTCAGCAGCACGGGGAGGGGAAAGACAGATGGTGAAGTGGAAGACAGACACTACGAAATCCAACCAAGTGTACCATCACTGTAAACCGATATAAATCTTTTGAGAAGTGATTTGAAAATGTTATGTAATTAAAGAAAAAAAACTTTACCCAGTAATTCCAGAATGTTGGAAATACCAAGCCAACAGTCAAAATTAGAGCGAGCTTGGCTTTACTACTCAAAAATGCTGGAAATGGTAAATTTTCATGCATCTCCTCAGTGAGCAGGATTTTTATAAGACAAAAATGGCCAGAACTCTTCAAGAAAAACCAAACAAGCAATAAAGGGCAAGGAGACTGTTCTAGATAGGCTTAGAAGCTTTAACAAGTAATTGTAATGCACAAATCTTGAGAGGGACTCAGAACAGGTAATAAAAAAGAATAGCTAAAGACATTTTAGGGGCCAGGCACAGTGGCTCACGCCTGTAATCCCACCACTATGGGAGGCTGAAGCGGGAAGACTGCTTGAGGCTAAGAGTTCAACACCAGTCTGGGCAACATAGAGAGACCCTGTCTCTACAAAAGAAAAATAAAAAACATTATCCAGGCGTTGTGGCACGCACTGGTAGTCCCAGCTACTTTGGAGGCTATAGTGGGAGAACTGCTTGAGCCCAGGAGTTTAAGGCTGCTGCAGTTAGCCATGATCCTGTCACTGTACTCCAGCCTGGGCAACAGAATGAAATCCTGTCTCAAAAACAAAATAAGGCTGGGGCTCGTGGCTCATGCCTATAATCCCACACCACTTTGGGAGGTCAGGAGTTCGAGACCAGCCTGGCCAACATGCTGTAACCCCATCTCTATTAAAAAATACAAAAATTAGCCAAGTGTGGTGGTGCATGCCTGCAGTCTCAGCTATTCGGGAGGCTGAGGCAGAAGAATCACATGAACCTGGGAGGTGGAGATTGCAGTGAGCTGAGATTGTGCCATTGCACTTCAGCCTGGGCAACAGAGTGAGATTCCTTCTCAAAAAAACAAAAGAAAACAAAAACACACAAACAAAAAACCATTTTGGGAACTGGAGATACACAAAGATAGTGCATTATACACCATTATACTGTGGTTATATTGAAAGAGATGTCCCCATTCTCAGATTTATAATGAAGTATTTAAAGTATTATAACTGCCGCTTTTTTCTAATGATTCAGGAAAAAAAGTGTATTTGTACGTGTTTATATAAAAACAAAAAAGTGAAGCTAATGTGTTAGGATGTTAATAATGGGTGAATCCAGGTGAGGACTGTAGAGATGATCATCCCACTATTTCTTCTACTCCTCTATAGCCTAGAAATAAAAACACACAGCTGGGGGAATAATTACTATACTGCAATAGGGAAAAACACTTGCACTTTTCAAACTCAGAGCTTGACCTTTTTAGGGGGTAACAGGATCAGTTTAGGTCACAAGGATACTAAAACAAAACAAAACAAAGCTAGGCCGGTCGCGGTGGTCACACCTGTAATCTAAGTCCTCTGGGGGGCTGAGGTGAGTGGATCACCCGTCAGGAGTCTGAGACCAGCCAGGCCAAAATGGTGAAACCCTGTCTCTACTAAAAATACAAAAATTAGCTGGGTGTGGTGGCACGCACCTGTAATCCCAGCTACTTGGGAGGCTGAGGCAGGAGAATCACTTGAACCCAGGAGGTGGGGATTGGAGTGAGCTGGGATTGTACCACTGTACTCCAGCCTGGGTGACAGAGTGAGACTCTGTCTCAAACAAAACAAAACAAAACCAAAACAAAAATAAAACCTGAGTAGAATGAAATAGAAAATCATCAAACAAAACAAGTTTAAACATTGTCTCGTTTGACTTTTATTTCAGTTATGCTTACATGCATCTGTATGTGTGACGGTTTGTACTGTAAAACTTACTTTTTTTTTTTTTTAAACACTTATCTTCTTTGTGATGGTAAAAACTTACTTCTTACTGAGAACCAAGGTCTACAAAATACTCTTCTAAAAAAATCTGCCTATACCTGCATAAAGACTTCACAGCAGCTTCATCTAAAGACTTAAGAGTAGTAAAAAACCTAATGTTTGGGCTGGGTACAGTGACTCTCTCATGCTGTAATCCCAGCATTTTGGGAGGTCAATATGGGTGGATCACCTGAGGTCAGGAGTTCGAGACCAGCTTGGCCAACATGGTGAAACCCTGTTTCTACTAAACATACAAAAATTAGCCAGGTACAGGGGCAGGTACCTGTAATCCCAGCTACTCAGGAGGCTGAGGCAGGGGAATCACTTGAACCTGGGAGGTAGAGGTAAAGTGAGCCGAGATCGCCCCACTACACTACAGCGGCCTGGTGACACAGTGAGATCATCTCAAAAAAAAAAAAACAAAACAAAAAAACAAAACCTAATGTTCCGTAGGGGGGTCGATAAACTTCAGTTACCCAAGTAACAAGCAACGGTGATAACAAAGGCACTAGAGTTACAGGAATAATGCTCAGATTACTGAACAAAAAAATTCAGCTGGAGGAGGATAGAAATAATAGAATTTTAAAACAATACTATATGTACATTTATATACATAATAAAAACTTATATATAGCACTGAAAACTGAATTTGTGAATTTAATTCCCTACTTAAAGGAGAACGTGAAGAACATTGGGAAGGGTACAAAAGGGACCTCAATTCTACCTGTAATCTGTATCTTTAGGACAACTAACAGATGATGGATGCACACCCTATGCCCTAGATGCTAAATCGAATAGGTGTCTATGGCTACAACCCATTAGTTTACCTGTGGGGAAAAAATAAAGTGGGTAGGCTAGGTGTGGCAGTTTACTCCCGTAATCCCAGCACTTTGGGAGGCCGAGGTGGGTGGATCATCTGAGGTCAGAAGTTCGAGACCAGCCTGGCCAAGATGGTGAAACCCAATCTCTACGAAAAATACAATTAGCCAGGCGTGGTGGTAGGCACCTGTAATCGCAGCGACTCAGGAGGCTGAGGCAGAGAACTACTTGAACTTGGGAGGCAGAGGTTGCAGCGAGCCAAGATTGCACCATTGCACTCCAGCAGCCTGGGCCACAGCGAGGGTCCATTTCAAAAAAAAAAAAAAAAAAGAAAGTGGAATAAAGTGGGTCACTCCTCTACTCTTGAAACAAGCTACATACACCTTTTTCTCATTAGAACGCAGGTATGACACAACAGTAATTATATAGTGTTTGCTGTGTGCCAAGCAATAAATCTATGGATTTTATATTCATTATTTCATTTAACCTTTGACTAAATACTTCTGCAATGTTTTACTCACATTTAACAGATCGTAACACTGAGCATGGTATGGTCGTATCACTCTAACTAGTAAGGGCTAGAGCCTGGCCCTAAAGCTTGGCCGTCCAAGTCCACAGTCCTTATCTTTATTCACTATATAAACCTTTGCTATTATAGGGATGCTTGTACCAAAGGCTAATACAAGAAGATGGATAAATCTGGTCCTCATACTTAAGTTCATTTACCAGCACTGTCCACTTAATGTAAGGATTTGGAGCAATGTGAAAAACAAACTTTCACAGTAATACTGATTTTGCTCCTGTGGCTGTTTCAGATTCTAAACCTTAGCCACTCTCCTTTTTGGAATGAAATCTGATAAGCAATAATACGTAAGTGAACGTGCTCTTTAATGTCAAAGATAATACACACTTGAAAAACAAAACATCAAACGCAACAACAGAAATCTTACCCTTTTACTTCTGGACAGTCTGAAACGTGTCACAGTGCCAAACTGGGAGAAATAGGAAAAGATCTGGGTTTCGTCAAGTAGGTTAGGCAGGTGGCGCACACAGACGACTCCAGGAGTAAGTTGTTCTCGTTTTTTTCACTGAAAACATAAAGACCAGGTAAATTAAGTATTATTTTCTTTTCTTTTTTTTTGAGACGGAGTTTCCCTCTTGTTGCCCAGGCTGGAGTGTAGTGCCCCGAACTCGGCTCACTGCAACCTCCGCTCTCAGGTTCAAGCAATTCTCCTGCCTCAGCCTCCCGAGTAGCTGGGATTAAAGGCGCCTGCCACCACGCCCCGCTATTTTTTTGTATTTTTAGTAGAGACGGAGTTTCACCATGTTGGCCAGGCTGGTCTCGAACTCCTGACCTCAGGTGATCCACCCTCCTCGGCCTCCCGAAGTGCTGGGATTTACAGCTGTGAGCCACAGCGCCCGGCTAAAGATTTTTAAAATAAGAAAATCACATTGCAACAAAGCTTGCAAAACTCCTAGTCCTAGCCCTCGGCCCAAAAACCTACTCTGCATTTCCACTTACCACAGCCGTAATTAAAGAACTGGCTGTTTAATGTCTCTACCCACAAGGGCCGTGGCTGAGCAGTAGTCGACTGTCTTTCCACCCTGGCACCCCACCCCTCAGTAAAATGTCAGTGCTCAATAACTATGTCAATCAGCGGATAAGCAAGGACATCTCTGAACAAGCCAGTTTAGATCTTCTGCCCGGAGAACGCTACATAACTGTACCCTTCACTTTGGATGCACACTGTTTACTCGCACTTCATCGAAAACTTTTCCAGATGACTGTTAACTCTCACAGTACAGATGAGCCTTTCAGCGCCTCAGTCGTCACACCCTTACCTCTGTAACAAGAACGCCTAAGTTTCCCGGTGTATTTTATGCTAAAAACCACAGAAAGAGGCCGGGCGCGGTGGCTCAAGCCTGTAATCCCAGCACTTTGGGAGGCCGAGGCGGGTGGATCACGAGGTCAAGAGATCGAGACCATCCTGGTCAACACGGTGAAACCCCGTCTCTACTAAAAATACAAAAAATTAGCTGGGCATGGTGGTGCCTGCCTGTAATCCCAGCTACTCAGGAGGCTGAGGCAGGAGAATTGCCTGAACCCAGGAGACGGAGGTTGCGGTGAGCCGAGATCGCGCCATTGCACTCCAGCCTGGG